TCTGTTTTATGGATTGAATTTGTTTCCTGTGTTAGCATTCCATCATTTTCCTGAGCTCCTCTATTTTTTTTCTGTATCCTCTCTAGATTTATTAATCATGTCTTGCACTATGGGCACAATCTCGCTGCTATGTGAGAAATTATTTCTGATTTCATTTTTTCAGATCCTCTTTCGTTGCTAGTTCAGGGAATCCAGGTGGTTGAGTATCAGAGTGTTCCATCTTGTTTCCCTTTGGGGTTGCTGTAGGTGATATGGAAGTCTGGTTCTGTGGCTTGTTAACCTGTCTTTTCATTTTGACACAGGGTTGCAGGGGGCGCCTCACCTCCTCTGTGCTGGGAACCACGGCACAGCTACCCGGAAGCCTCCTCCTGCCTGCGAGCCCCGGCACGCCAATGTGGAGGTCTCCTCTGTGCCTGACCTTATTTCTAATAGAAAGATTTAGTGTTGTGAAGATGTCAGTTCTTTCTAAAATAGACTACAAATTACATGTAATCCCAATCAAAATTCCAACAAGAATATTTTAGAGGAGCTGGAGATATAGCTAAGTGGCACAGCACCTGCCTGGCAAGCACAAGGTCCTGAGTTCTATCCCCCATACAAAACAAAACAAAAGGAATATTTTAGAATGTAATAAAAATTACTTTGAATAAAATCTCCAAAGACTATAATAAGAATTATCAAAGAAGTTAAAGTGTCATACATTTTCCTTATTAAATAGTAACATCTTATTTAGCAATGATTTTAGCAATGCTAATAAGAAAAATAGCATGGATAATTATTGGCAAAGGAAAAAACAGACTGCTGAAGGACAGAGTGGAGAATCCCAGAAACAGATTCAACATTAGCAGAATTGAGTATATGATAAATGTGGTCCTTCTAATCACAGGTGAAATAGCAATTATTCACTAAATAATTTGGAGTAACCAACTAGCCTTGTTAGGAAAAAAATTAAATTTCACAATTAAATTCTAGTTAGATTAAAATTTGTAATAAATGTAAAGTGAAATAAAAATATGGTTTTAATAGTAGACTAGAATAAGTTTTTCTGAACTTGACACTAAAGCCAGAAAGTAGAGAAGAAAATAAATTTACATAGAATTTCAGTAATTCTGTATTGAAGTACAACAAAAACAAAATATCACAATTATATAAGTTTGAAAGTCTTAGAAAAATAATAACAAAATGGATAAAGACTACAAAGAGCTTTTATAAGTTAGTTAAAAATAGAAAAATGGTCAAAAACTATGAATAGTCATTTCACAAAGGAAATTAAAATGGACACAAACCATAAAAAGGTATTCTTTTCTAGGATGCAAACAGAAATAATAAAGAAGAAATATTTTAAAACCATAAAATTGACATCATGTAAATGATAAGAACTGAACACTGCTAAAGAAGAAAGAAAACTTGTACTATCAAAAACTATTGATAGGGGCTGGAGGTATAAATCTGTGACAAAGCATTTGCCTATTATGCATGCGACCTTAGATTCAATCCTGAGTACCATACACACACACACACACACACACACACACACAAAATGTTGACAGAGTATGAACGGATATAACCTTTCCAGGAGGTATTTTTCTCAAGCTATATCACAATGAGATATATGGTGATTTTTTTTATAATCAACTGTAAATAAATCACACTCAATACAATAATCTCCTAGCTTAGACATTCTTCATAAAGAGCTACAAGCAAGTCAGCAGCTACCCTAGACTAAAGCAGGGAGAAATTGTGCTTCTTCTATTAATTTGGAAATAGTAAAGTTCTAGAAGCTTGTGTGGGACAAAAACCACATTTCTCTGCAGAAAAAAATTTGCCACAAAATATTTTTAAAAGATTACACCATTGTTTAGCACTGAAATGTATATATTATAGTATATGTGCTGCCAAAGCAATCACTGAAATGTATATGTTGTAAATCCGGAAAGCTACTATGTGATTTTACAAATTTTATCTCTTCCAGTATAAAGATTTCTTTCATTAAAATACACATTCTAAGTGGCAGGAGAACACTGTTTCAACATTCAATCTCTAGAATTTATTCTTAGTAGCCTGTGCTACAGATGTCTTCATTTATCCTTCCAGGCCAGCTTTCCACTCTTCTTCTGAGGCTGGCCTTTAGACAACGTGATCAAGCTCCTGTGCTCCCTGGCTTCAGATTGGGAAGGCCTGGCAGGAGATGGGAAGGATGAGTGAGGAGAGTAAGGGCAGATCATTCACTCCCCCTCTTCCCCCTCTGTGAGCTTACCTGACCCAGACAGCTGCTTTGCAATTCTCTTCCTTCCAAGTGTCTGTAACATTTTCTTCCCATGTTTTATCATGGTGAGGTGGGGTGACAGCTCCTCAGATGCTAGCCTTAGGTTCCTATACTTTCTTCTACAGGTTCCTACACCTGGGTAAATAAATCCCTGACTTGTAAGAAGGTACAAAGAATAACACCACAACTTACAACCAATGGCATCTTAAAATAGACTAAGTGCAACTTTAGAACCCATTCCCTTTCTTTACTTTACATGATAGCAGAATGACCTGAGATGACCTAACCAAGATCTTCCTACTCTAAGGAAGTAGGGTGGTAAAATCTGGGAGTGAAAGGAAGAGGCATCTTCCCCTCCCATCTCCTTAATATAATTCTAGCAAACAGAATTCAACACATTTAAAAGATCATATATGATCAAATTGGCTTCATTTCAGGGATGCAACGATGATTCAACCTATATAAATCAATAAATATAATATATCACATAAGTAGAATCAAGGACTAAACTTATGATCTCAATAGATGCAAAAAAAGCCTTCAACAAATCCAACAACTTTTCATAACAAAATCCCTGAAGAAACCAGGTAGATGTATTTTACCTCAACAAAACACAGGCCATTCATGACAAACCCATAGCTAACATCATACTAAATGGGGACAGGACACTTATTCTAAGATCAGAAAGAAGACAAGGGTGGACACTATCATCACTCTCATTTGATACGGAGCTTGAAGTTTTCATCAGAGTAATTAGGCAAGAAGAGGAAATAAAAAAGATACAAATAAGAAAGGACATATTCAAATTATCCTTATTTGCAGACAATATGATCCTATATTAGAAGACCCTAAAAACTTGCACCAGAAGTCTTTTGGATCTGACAAATTCAGCAAAGTGGCAAGATACAAAATCAACATACAAAAATCAATAACTTTTCTACATACCAATAAAAATCTACTGAGAAAAAAATCAGGAAAACAATTCCATTCACAATAAGCATCAAAAATTACCTAGGAATAAATGTAATCAAGGAGATGAAAGACATACTGAAAATTTCAGAAGATGGAAGAAATTGACAAAGATAGTAGAATATGGAAAGATCTCTATAATCTTGGATCAGCAGAATTAACATTGTTAAAATGGCCACATTACCAAAAGTATCCTACAGATTCTATGCAATCCCCATCAAAATACCAATGACATTTCTTTTTTTTGGTACCGGGGATCGAACTTGGGTCCTTGCACTTGCGCAGCAGGGAGCGAAACCACTGAGCTAAATCCCCGGCCCACCAATGACATTTCTTAAGAACTAGGAAAAAAACCCTAAAATTCAAGTAGAAATACAAAAGTCCTAGAATATCCAAAGCAATCCTGAACAAAAAGAGAAATGCTAAAGGTAGCTCAATAACTGATTTCAAAATACAAGATGTAATCAGACTATGTGATGAGTGCTTAATTAAAAAAATTATCAGTTAAAGACATATTAATTGCCCCCTCATTTTGAACAAACATCTCATCATTCTTTCCACTTTCTGAAGCAGTTCTGGAAGTCCTTTTGCATGAGTAGCTTTATGAGGTATTATCAAAAGTACATTGACTGCTCCTTTCCATGCAACGGAAAGGCAAACCGTAAAAACTTTACAGTGTGTCCCCATCCACCTTATTCACTGGATCTGGTACCCTGTGACTTCTGGCTCTTACTCAAATTCAAAAATGTTAAATTGATTCAAGACATCAAGGTAGCCATAACAGCACAATTAAAGACAGGAAAGAGGACTTCCAAAACTGTTTCAGAAAGTGGCAAGAATTATAGGATAAGTGTATTTGAATCAAAGGGGAGTATTTTTGGGGGGGGCGGTCATTGGCGATGTGTCTTTTACTATAATGAATTTCTAAATTTTAACATTCACTGTGGGTTTTTAAAATCATACATACAATAGAGTACTATTCATCTATAAAGTGGAACAAAATCATGTCATTTGCAAAAAAAGGGATGGCACTTGAGATCATCATGTTAATCAAAATAAGCCAGATTCTGAAAACAATTATTACATGTTTTCTCTCATATGTGGAATCCAGAGATTTAAAAGAAAGACAATGTGAAAGCAGAAGGGAGACTATCAGAGAAGAGGAAGAGAATCAGGAGAGGGAGGAGAGAAGGACAAAGAGTGAGTACTGGGGAAATAGAAATGATCAAAATATGTTATACTGTATACATGTACAAATAGGTCAAAATAAAACCCACTATGTTGTATACTTAATTATGTATTAATCAAAAGAAAAGAAAGGAAATGGGGGAAACAAGAAGGAAAAACTTGACAGCAAGCAGTGACCCATAAAGGGTAGAGATGTCTATGCAGAATGTTGTCTGAGGTGATAAAGTGATAACTGGAATGAATAAGGACAGGGGTGATTTCATTGTGGCATCTCAGGCATCTGAGGAGGGAAAGAGAAAATGCTGCCAGTTACAGCACACATATACTGCACTAAAAACCAGGGATATTCTTTTCAAGTAGGAATGGGTGAAGGAACATTTTGTTGGTTTCACCTACAAATTACAGATTCTTTTGTGAGTGATTAAAGAATAGTGTTTAGAATGCCTGGTTGAGGGAAAATAGTATTATAAAATTCAGTTAACTTTTTAAAATTAAACTGTTATGTCAAAGATGACTGCTGAGTTAATTTCAACAAAAATGAATTCTATTTTTCCAGTAATTCTAATCATTGAAAATGGTCCAGAAAAAAAGATTGAATTACTGAAAATAAGAGATTAAGTAGACAGAAGGAAATCCAGCTTTGGCACACCATGTACTATTCATACTGAGAGAGCTCATGCACCGCCCTCCTCTATCTTTTCCTCTTTTAGAACGTCTTCTACATGCAAGTATTTCCTGTTCCATACATGTAGTATTTGTTACTTGCCTTCTTTCACAAGAGTATCTATAGTGTCTCTGTTATGGCTT